GAGTATGTTTTGGTTGAGTTCCCCGTTCTGGATTGTGATTGATGTCGTTATTCTTTGTCTGCCTGCGTCTGCCCGTGGATCGCCGCGACCTGGACGTGTCCTTCTCTGTGCGTCTTCCTTGTTGCTTGCATTTCGTGAGTACCAAACTTCGACGTTAACACCATTGACGAGGGAAAGGGACGGCTGGACCCTTCTCCCGATAAAAATAAATTCAGCACGCACCGCAGGAGGAAGGTGGGGCATGAAACGAAATAAAAAGAAGAAAAAAGCCCTGGTGTTTACCCCCTCCTGTGTGACCCTGGATGGTTGTATGAAGTTGTACGAAAAAAATACACTGAAAAGTGTAGAACTCTAGACTACACAATACGCTGAAAAGTGTAGTACACGTCTCACCACGAACGATGGGGGGACTGCCTGTCGCCATCATAAATAGGACGAAAACACACCACACACACATCCTCCCGATTCTCTTACTCCTTAGTCTAGACAACAAGTATTTGGTACTATTCTTTATTTTTCTGTCCTTTGATCTCTGAGGACAATCAATCCACATCAAGCCCTCAAGAGAGGTGGTGGAGAGTGCCATCAAACTCGTACATCAGCGGAGAGCATATGGTTGTCCGCGATATGTGGCAGTACTACAGTCCAGCACTCACTGTGAACAGCAGGGGCGCGTGACTCTGCCCCCTACCTACAAAATGCACCTCTGTTCAGCTTGGGAGGGGGTTGGGAGCACCGCAGATTTCTGATGTCATGGGGGTATCGCACCATCACGTTTGTTAATGGGGCGTTTCTTACGTTGTGGCCGAGATTGCGCGATGTTTATCAGCCCTTGTTTCTTATTTTTCGTACAAAGTTGAGCCTTTTTTCTTAACAGAATTTTTCTCAACTGCTGGCGCCATCTGTATTTGTACGCGAAAGGAAGGGGTGGCGAGTACCGTCAGACGCAGTGCCTTTTTTCGAAGACGGTTCATTCGTTTACTCATGAAACTCAAGAGAGCCGTAGAGCCAAGCCGCGGGGGGAGGTTCAGGGAACTCGTCGCGACATGTGGAAGGAAAAGCCATCAGGGTAGCTTTTGGTCTCCGCCGGGACAGTGATATGTACTGGTGTTCCTTGGTGCGACGCGGAAATACGCTCGTTCTTTTTTTGTTTCACAAGAATGAGATAAATATATGTCTACGTGGACTTTCCTCCTTCCGCTGCCGGCTACGCAGTACATTAGTTGGCCAAGTACAAACTGCTGATGTACTGTAGTTGTTTTCAACGCGTCCCTGACTGCTGTACATCTCATTTCAAGTATTATACATATGTTCGACGTCAACAAACGGTTGCCAGTCGCCTCGGCGGTGCTGACTTTTCGTACCACCCCCTTCCCTAGCACAAGCTGCGTAGTTTGAGGTATAGCATGCCTCCATCGGCCCCGGGGATGGTGAGCTATCGTCCCCTGAATTTTAAGGACGCAACCCCGCTTTAAGGACGCTTTTATTAGGAAAATCCATTTGCGTCCTTAAAGCGGGGTTGACTGTACAGCAGTATCTAAAACAAATAGGGAAGTGGGGGGAACGGAACAAACACAACCGTAAGAAATCGGCTGACAACAAAAACGAAACAGCATTAGGGACAAAAGAAAACAACGAAACGTCTACAACATCATTCTTGCGCGTCGAAAACTAGTACTTGTGACAAACGCGTCGCAACACGAGAGCGAACAACAGGGAACAGCAGCTGGACAGCCAACGCCGTGGAAATAATCCAACGCCAAAGAAGAAGTAGCGCTGACTGCGCCGTGACAACAATCTAATCCCACGCCCACAATGAGCCGATCCAGAGGGCCATGGCTTGGCTCGAGAGAAACCGTGCGGATACCCGTCGGCAACTGACGAGGAGACACAAAAACTGCTAAGGCATTGAATCACTCGGTTTCGATGCTCTCAGACTCTCCCCGCCCCCCCCTCATCTCCTCCCGCCCCTTCCGAAAAAAAAAAAAGTATTAACAANCCCCCCTCACCCCCCCCCGCCCCTTCCGAAAAAAAAAAAAGTATTAACAACGCCCCCGGTGTCTGGACGACTTGTTTGTTGTTCTCACACGATAATACTCACGGCATTTGGACACACACCGCTTGATCAGCCAAGAGGCAGAAAGACCACTCGTCTCAGTAGCCAGTTAAAATTGTCGTGATTACTTGATACACACAGGGATCGCCTCGCGTCCGCCCCTCTCCCCCACCATCAACACTATTGCCACATAACGGGTGTTGTCATTCGTCCTCGCGTGGTGATGCGCACACGAGGCAAATTTTTGCGGCCGCGATGTTTTTGAGTGTACACTGCGGAGACCGACGGACAACACAAGGGAGCGAGAGCGGGAGGTGGCCGAGTTAGGGTACATGTAAACGACACGTACGCACGGCCAACTCCAACGCGAAACCAGTTGTCATCAATTCCCGTACAAGCTGGTTCAGGGTGGATTCCATGTTGGCGTTCATCCTGCAATGCGGCCAACGTACTTGTCATCGGTCAGCCGATTAGTGCGGTCGATGCAACATGAATAAACCCATGTACACACATCAGACGAAAGCAAAACAGCTCCCTCCCGCCCGTAGCACCCCTTCCTCTCGCACCTTCGAACAGCTCCACTCCAAATCTGTGTATTTCGCAACCAAGCCACCGCCGTCGTCCGCCCGCTTCAAGCTTTCCGCGGAGGTAGACTCGTACTCGGCAGCCCCTTCCCCGCACATAGGCCCAACTACCCCGGCGGCCCTTGTCCAGTCAGCCCCGTCCCCAGACAATGCATCCCGGTCGCCATGCCCCCCCGCGCCGCCGTTCTCCGACAAACCGCCGTTGGCGTTCCAGTCCAAGACGCGCTCGGTTGTCCCCTTCCCGACCGAGATGGCACCGCCAGACCCTTCCGCGTCAAAAAAGTCTTCGCGCCCCCCACCGCAGTTGGAGTCGGAAGACAGCGGGGTCGCGAAACCGTCCCCGGGCGAATCCACGGGGCCCCCGGCAGAGGCGCTCTTCGCCGCCATGAACTCGGCGAGACCCTCCACGCCGCCTTGTTCATCGTCCTCCTCCTCCGCCACCGAATCCGTCGCGAGGCCCGAATCTGCCGCACCTCGGTACAATGCCGCGGTCATTGCTCTCCCCGACAGTGGCTGCTGCTGCTGCTGATGCTGCCGCGGCGGTAGGCCTCCGCCCGGGCTCACGAGGTCTTCAAAGTCAGACGTGTCGCTGACGGAGAAGGGCGCCATCGCCGGCCGCGCTCCTGAGCTCGGCGTGGCGAAGCCTGACGCCGATGTTGTCGGGGTCATCGTCGTCGTCGCCGCCGCAAACGGCCGTGGCCACTGCTGTCCTGTTGCCGCCGCTGCTTCTGGCGTCCCCCCTACTCTCAGCGCCGCCGCCACCGCCGCGACGGCTTCTGCCCCCTGCTCTTCTTCCTCGGTCAACGATTCTTCCTCTCTAAACGTTCTTTGCGGCAACAATTCGCATTGCCGCAACTCGAAGACATCTTCTCCGCTCTCACCGCGACTATCCCCCCCGGCGCCTTTAACATCCACCGCGCCAGAAGAATACACGGCAAGGGGTGACGCAATCGAGGATTGACTTCTCGAGTCGGTCATCGAAACCCCCGCTTCCGCCGCCGCCGCCCCCGCCGCTTCCGCCGCCGCCGCTGCTTCCACCGCTGCCGCCTCCGCCGCTGCTTCCACCGCTGCCGCCTCCGCCGCTGCCGCCCCAGCCGCTGCTACCGCTGGCGACCTTCGCTCGCCGCCGCCGGGGCCAGGTGTCTCTTCAGGAGCTTGGTCGGTGCGCTCCTGAAGAGGAAGCAGGCAAGGCATGCAGGCAAGCATGCGTGATCAAATAAAAACGCTGATACAGAACAAAGAAGCTACATATCGGTGCATCATCCGTCTCCATGTTGCCGAACATGTCCTCCCCATCGAGTACCGCGTGTCAACATAAGCCTGTCGGTCCATCCTTAGCACACGGTTAGGGTTCGGGCGTTCAGACAAAGAGCACAACGTCCACCTGCGCCGTACAGAACAAGCAGGAAAAGGGTATTCAGCACGAACATCGGAAGGCATCCACGTCGGTTGGACCAGTACGGACTACGAGGTTCTGAGCGGAGACCGTCGCATTTCTTGCGTGAAGGCGACAACAACAAGCATCATGCAGCGCGAAACCGGCCAGTGGCATACACACATACCTGTGCGAGCATATGAAACAAGGCCGTCTGGAACTCCGCTTGCCTCGCCCGCGTCATGCCGACGGAGGGGGCTCCGTCGACCCCGATATCCTCCGGCCCGATCTCATCCCAGTCGTAGTCGGCGTAGTCCAAGTCGCCGCTACCTTCGCCGGACGCCGCCGCCCCGAACATGGCGGCCGCGGCGGCGGCGCTCATGCCGCTGCCGCCGGAGGCGTAGTGCCAGGGGGGTAAGCCCATGACGGTGTTTTCTCTGTCCAGGCCCCACTCCGGGGGCACCTGCAGGTATCTCTGTAGGAATATGAACACCGAGTCGAAGAGGAAGCCTGGCCTCGGGGAGTTGTGGTCCCCGTCGACCGTTATGAAGTTCTTGTCCCCGGCGTACGCTTCGCAGATCTGCTTGCTGTTGGGGGCGTTTTATCAGGAAAGAGAGGGCAGGAGTGGAGGGGGGGCGGGGGCGGCGTGAGTAAGCCATCGTCGCAGTCCACAGAAGAAAATACCCCCGGTGATAACAGCAGAGGCGTTTAAGAAATTCATCACCGCGACCTAGTTCGGTGGGGGGGTGTTATCGTCGACGACATTATTACATGACTCGAGAATATTTTTAAGTGCCTCGCGTTGAGCCGCAAACATACCATCACCGGGTGTGGGATCTGTGGGGAGCGAGTTTTTCGGTGGGTGTTATCTAGTGTGGAATACGACAATTGCCTGAAGGTCATCGGACAGGCACACCAAGAATCATCAATCCCAGGAATGGGATGTGTGCCACGAACGAGCTTTCCCCAAAACAAACTGCAAATCTCTCCTCTCACCTGTGGTGGGGCTTGATGAAGTCGTCCGAAAGCCCAGCCACAAACAGCGCGGGGATGAAGGTCCGGTTGGCGTGCTTTATCGGACACAGGTCTCGCACGTTGAAGTTGGCGGTCTTCGCCACGGTCCCCCGAATCATTCTCATTACCATCTTCACCACGATGCCCGGGACCGTCAAGCCCTAGACAACAAAGCGCGACACCGCGAGCAAGCGGGATGGGTGTGAGCGCAAGCCTTGTCCGACAGGAAAGTTAGAGTTACCGTGCAATGGCTTGTTCACTTCAAAGCGCGTCGATGCCCGTACACCTGACAACCGAGCGTAGGCGCACGTGCAACAAGCTCTCGTACGGGTGCTGCCGTCTCCGCTCCTCGGGGCAACAAAACACACAAGGCTCCAGAGCAGAAGCGCCTTCCTCCATGCACCGCCTCCCACCGAGCGACCTTCGTGAAAAAACAAAACGGCCAAAATCCTCCACGAAGGCCTACAACACAACCACCAGCTACGCTACGACAATGGATGACCGCCACCCCCCCCCCCCCCCCCCCCCCCCCCCCCCCCCCCCCCCCCCCCCCCCCCCC